TTTCTCTTATACAAACCACAATTAAATCGTATCACAATATATAATCCGTTGGTTCCGTACCACTGAATCCATATGACCATTCGGAGCCTAAAATAGAAGTTACAGAATATAACAAGTAAGCATGTGTTTGACAACACTGGTGCAGGAGAGGTAACTAACTGATATAGGTCTTGAATGTATTTTGTGGTCTAGATGAAACGCATGGCGAGATGAAACGCATGTTACCAGTCGCCCTTACTTTATTCTATTAATTTTCATAAATAAAATAATAATTAATTAAAATAAAAAAGAAGGGTGGGGTATATTTGTATCAGACCACACTTATTGGTGAGAAGATTGTAAAAAGAGAAATTTTATTGTATAGCGTACAAAAAAATTATAATTCATTTGATAATCAATTACTCTAACTTACCGATATGCCTTCTAACTTTTATATTATATTTCCATCTTGTCCTTGTATCCAACCGGTGAAACCTGGAAGTAAAAACAATTTTCATTAATAATTATTAAAACCAAAAGTAACTCGTGGCCCTTCAGCATTCATACACCATTTGTTTATTTCTTTTTGTTTGGTAAATTGGTAGATTGTGAATAGCTTCATTTTCAGACTTGAGCGAAAGTGTGACCACCGCTGCATTTCTATAGTAGTTTTGTGGAAGAATAAACCATTTGCGAAGGATCTGCAGGTGGCGGCGGGAAGCATCAGAGATTCCAAAATCAACAGAGACGGCGATGTGGCTGCACTCTCGATGATTCAACTCCATAGCAGTGATTTCCAGAATATATTTTCAACTACTGTAAGTCATGGTTGTCGACTTCTTATCTCTGAATCTGAAGTAGCTTTTTTCTATTGGCGCCATTGTGGAAACTTCATGAATAGAGTTGAGAAATCTGAAAATTCCTTTTTGTTGCATGTGGGATTAACTATTTAAAAGTCTGAAAAATCTGAAAAATCCTTATTCTTAACTTACTTTCTCTTTGTTACTCGAATAAAATAGTATAGATTTGTGAAATATTCAATTGTGTACCATGCAATATACTTAGTATACTATTTTGAAAGGTCAAATAGAATAGACTAGGATTCTAATAGACTATGTATTTTGTAGATGTAATGAAAGAGTTTGTTTTTCTACATTTAATTACGTTTTACTTGGTTTTTGTTCAATAATATCCTTTCAAGTATGGTACCATGACACACCTTATTTCTATTTGTATATAGAAAAAAAGATTTATTCATCCTTGAAAACAAAACAAACATACGCATTATAGTAAATAGAATAGTAATTCTTCACAAATAGAATAGTTGTAGTGTAATCTTGAATGCTTTCATTTGTTTTCTTATGAATAGACTATGTATGTTATCTATACCTATCCATGCTGCTTACATGGCCTCCCTTCTACATTGTTGTTATAATGTACGTTCTATTTGCATGTATTTAGCTGTATGAATCCTAACAACTTTACCATTCTATTGTTTGTATCAGCTTACCAATGGATAACTTAGGGCTGCCATCGGTGTTTCACTGCTGCCATCGTTCTCTCCTCCACCTCGCCACCCATAATTTTTTCACTTCTTCTAACTGTTGTAATTTACTATTTGTTCTGTTCTATTCTATTTGTAAAACTTAGAACAAAAATATAATTTTACAGTGAAAAACATGAGTTGTGATTTGTTATTGTATATGAATTTTGGTTTATACGTATGGACCAGAACTAAGCATTTATAAACTCAGTTTTGTTATTTTGTTAACTACATTCACACAAGTGTAGACTTTACAGAAACTTCTCTTATTCTATTTATAATGATTATATTTTACATTTAAAATGAATATTACAAATAATGAAACACTTTTTAATTCATTATTCTATTCTGTTTTTTATGTAGTACGACTTAATATCAAAACATATTATTATATCATTTTTACATTTTAATTTTATTGTAAATATTATAAATATATATTATTGTTTATATTTGGGGTTGGGTTAAGTGATTTCAGTTTAGGGTTTAGTATTAAAGATTGGGGATGGGTTTAATATTTAGGGATTGTGGATAGAGTTAGAATCCTATAATATTTCAGTGATATAATACCACTAGCTCTATCACCTATACTATTTCAGTGATAAATCTTAGCACTTTTAAATTCATAAGTGTTAACGTCAAAGTGTATTGTTATATCGTTGATATAAATCTGGTTAATGAGTGTTGATCAAAACTTAACACTTTTTAATTCATATGTCTATTCTATTTTTCATATAGTATAGTTAATTATCACAAGATATTATACACTATTTTCAGATTTTAGTTTTATTTAAAATATTAACTTGTGTTTGGTTTAGTAATTATGGTTTAGGGTTTAATATTCAAAAATTGGGGTTGGATTTAATATTTAGGGATTGTTGGTAGGATTTGAGTTTTATGCTATTTCTGGATATAGAATATATTCTTTATTGACAACGCGTATATTTATATTCTTTAAATTATTATATTTTATAATTTGGGTTTAGGATTCAGTGATTGAGATTGAGGATTTAATATTTAAGAATTTGGGATTAGAGTACTATTAGAGTTGTGAGTAAATTGAGATTCCTATACTACATAAATGATATGATCTATATAGTATGGTAAACAAACATGTGGTGTTGGTGGTATTACGTGGTGCAATAATTATTAGTGTTGTTTTATAACTGACCATGTTTGCTAATTGTTTTTCACCGACTACTTATAAGAGATGAGGGTATAACCGGCTAAAAAGAAGGTAAAACGTTAGTTTGTTAATTATGTCAAAATAATGAACATTTACTTAATTTATATTCTAAAATTGGTTACTCAGCAGATAAGCCCTTGTAAAAAAGGTGTGGTTAGATATATTTTTATCACACATATTTGTTAAATTTGTTTATTATTTTAATTCCTAAGAATGCAAAAAACACATATCTGACAATTAAATTTTATGTCTCATATGGTGTTATTTAAGTGTCAATACTCATTTATGTTACTTTTTTTTTTTACAAATTCTAGTAATCACATTATCTTAATAATAATATTAGTGTGTATTTCTACATATACCAGATGAATATTTCTTCATGTGTATTTAGTTCATGATGTTTAATAATTCATATTTTTTTGTAAAAAAACTTTCTTAAAATTACCGAATCACATTTATTTATTTTGGTATTTTAATCAAAATAATATTAATTTATATCATTTCTAAAATTATATAATAAGGATTCAATAGTAAAATTTTGATATTCATATTAACACCTTTTATCTATAAACAAACATAATTTAATTTTGTTTAAACACAATTAGTGCAATTAGATATTAAAAATAAAATAAGAGACTATAAATTCGGTAATAAAATATTATATTAAATATTTCACATATATAAAATATTTTAAAATAAAATTTATATATTTAAAAATTATTTTAGTATCATTGATTTTTTTTGTTAGTAAAATATATTTATATTATATGTATCCCACAGTTACACTATTCGTTATACATGTGAGAGCATCTCCAACGACACTCTTTATTTTAAAGAAGAAACCCATTAAAAATAAAAGGATAAAGGAGTAGGTCTCCAACAATGGCTTTTAAAAGTTTTCTCTCAAAATTTTGTACATTTTAGTCCTCAATATTATTAATACTTTACTATAATCATTAAAACTCTATAAAGAAGCAATAAATATATATTTCCAAAAATATTTATATAAATTAAAAAAACATCTCCAATAATAATATATAGTCAAATATAACTATACATAATATAAAAAGTATCAATAATGTATTTTTAGTTGAAATAGTTTATAAAAAACTATATCGATAAGTATTAAAACATGTTATATAAAAACTTATCATGCAATTCTTAAACTTTATATAATTGTAGGAACTAAAATGAAAAGTGAATAGTGTAAGGATCAACATTGATCCTTTATATTTGAAGTGTCACTATTCACTCTTTTATAAAATAAAGAGATAAATAGTGATTGGAATGCAAAATTCTTTAAAAAAATAAAGGGATAAAAGTGATTAAAGATGCTCTCACCATTCATATTTTGTTTTGAACTGTTTATTTTAGATGATTCGTGGTTGTTTCGCAGTATGCATTTCTGTTATGCAAACTACAGTTAGTCCATATCACTAGTCAATACGTTGTTGCCGCATCGGTCAATTCAATGTTACTATTAGGAGGTTTATATTTAGCATAATACTAGATTTTTGATCCGCACTTAAAAGCGGTGATACCATTTTTGTTGTTTTATTTACAGATAGATTGATAAGTTTTTTTGCTTTGATGATTAAAATGTTCTTATCTAATATAACTTTCTAAAATTATTGTAGATTTTAATTTATTATTATCATCAATATCTATGTAAATGAATTATATGTAATTGTGTAGTTTTATTTTGTAAAAATAATATCAGTTAACTATGCTTGATGCTCGGAAGCGAGTCAAACTCGCCCTGCCCGACCAGCCTAACCCGCAAAGAAAATAAATTTTATCCGTATCTGTCCCACTTAATTTTGCGGATAATCCGCGGGACCTGCAGATAATTATTAATAATAAAAATAATTATTTTTTCTAAAGAATAATATTAAATAGTATATTTTAATTAAATTGTTTATTTACAAAAAATAATTATTTTAATGAAATTTAGTATATTTTTTGCAAAATCGTTTTTTTTTAAATTTTTTTCTATTTTGCAGATTACCGGATACCCACAATCGGAATTAGAACAATCCGCATCCGTCCCGCGTAAAATATATTTGACCTGTATCCGCAACTTAATTTTTTCAATTCACCCGTTCTATGACGGATCGAATGAGACATGACCAGCGGGCTAATAATTAGAAAGTGAATTTGACCTATCAATAAAATTCATTAGTATTTAGTTTTTAGATCCATAATAAAAGGACTAAATTACCATTAATTAATAAAATAAATTTCTTCACAATATTAAATTTGAAAAGAGAATAATCATGTTTTAATGGTATTGATTTAAATATTCTTACAAGAAAATTTCATTAAATACACACACGAAAGTATGATACAAGGGAGGATAAGGGTGGATTTAGAACTAAAAACAAAACGCACTACTACACCACATCTTGAAAGGATAGCTTAACCTATAGATTAGGTTTTTACCAAGGTAAGAATACTTGCATCACGCGCTTTTTATGTTACATGATGATATCACCACAAAAGGCTTAAGAGGAAGGCAGAATAACAAGTACTTTGTGTTCATCCCCAAAGCTCTTTAAGCACAGCGGGTGAAGATACGAAGGATTTCCCCTGCGTTTTCTCAAGGTAGAACCTGCACAGCACTGGTCCTGCAACCTTCCAGACAAACCCACACTTCCGAACGTTTTTCATTTTGATTGCATGGTCGTAAACGATGTTGTAAAGTGCCAAGGCTTGCGGATAAAGCTCTTCTAGACTTTTCTTACTGTCTTCAAACCCTGCAGCACCATAGAACTCCTGCCACACAAGCAGCATACACAAGTCTAAGAATTGTTTCTTTATTAATTGTAAACAATTAGTTCAACTCTTGTTGGAGAGAGACTTCCATGAGACCAGATCAAAGAGCTTACCTGCTTGTATCTCTGGATAACTTCACTAGCTGATTCATTTTTGTCCTGCTTGTGTCTCTGAATAACTTCACCAGCTGATTCATCTTTGTTACTCAATGCCTTGCTCATCTCCTTTTTGTATTTATCATACCACCGTCCATATTTCTCCATATGAGAATCAGAGACCGGCTCATCTTGGAAACAAGAGAGTTTGCTGATCTCTGAATTTTATAAAACCACAGTTAACATGATAGTATATTGATTTGTTTATGTGTTCTGATCATTAGCATAGTCACTAAGAGAAAAGTTCCATTACCAGATGATGACATGTGTTCCTGTGCTGTATGTGAATTAACAAAGTCATAGATCATTCCAAGAATAGAAGTGGAGATGAACTTCTGATCCCGCTCCATATAATGAGGGAAAATGTCAGGCTTCAGCTCCTTAGGAAGATAGACCTTAACACCATTCTTGTGTGCATCAAGAGCATCATAGTATATATCAATGACCTTTAAAATTTTATTCTTCATTTCAGCTTTTTCCTCAGCGTTCTCATCTCCTAGTGTAGGAGATGGGTTATACCCCTCCACAAGGCCCATCAAATGAGGAAAACTTAGCCTAGTCTGACAATATACTCGGCCCACCGGGTGACACCGAAACGACTCGGTATGAGACGCGTTTAGTAGCGCGATTAAATGTGTTCTAGAAGAGTCCGCGGAGGTACGATTTACCCGAACTACTAAACGGGCCTAGCGGTAATAAGGCCCAACAAGGCTAGGGTAAGTTAGGGCGAACACGAAGATTGGATCTATAAAAGGAGAGAGGCAGCAAAGGGAAAAGGGAATCCGGAATTCGACATACTCACTCGGCGGCTAGATCTAGGGTTTTCTAGTGATTAGGTGGTTAGATCTAGGGTTTACTCACCCTCTCGTTTAGTCACCTCCCTGTTTAGTCACCTTCCCGTTTACTCACCATCTTGTACTTCCGGCTAGTCCGTCGATTTACTCTCTTCTTTGTAACTCCTCGTTCAGATCTAATAAAACGTCTTTGTTCGCCCTCATCTCTCTCTTTATATTGTTTCAAACCATTTTCACCTCAAACAATTTGGCGCCCACCGTGGGGCTCTGAACAAAGTAACGTTACCAGATCTAGACATGCCTGACGACGGAACCGTCTCTGGAACTGCGGGGGAGGAGCCGACTCCGACTCCCGAACCCGAAACACCTCTTCCGGCCGACTTCATGAGCTCCGTCATGGCGCGCTTCGCCAGACAAGACGAAATCCAAAAGGAGACTCAAGCTCAACTCGCCGCGCTCGTGGCAGCGTTAACAGCAGCTCCCGCCGGGCAGACGAGCAACTCTCAGCCGTTCCGACGCCATCTCTTCAACACCAACCCTACAGCGCCAGTAGCCGACCATACCTCTGAAGAGTCGGAACCCACCGAGCCGCACGCTGCAGAAACTGCTCGAATCGGCCCAGATCTCACGACTGTCCGTGAAATCGCCGAGCTCAAACTGAACCTCCAACAGATGAGCTCCACGATTCACAAGGTGACCAGCGCTGCCCCACAAATCGAGAGTGTTCTCGCTTCAACCGAGCGTACTCCGTTCACTAGCACGTTAACTAGTGTAAACTTCCGAAAGATTGAGAAGTTGCGCGTCCCGCAGTACAAACCGGGCGGTGACCCTGTGGAGCACATGACTGCTTTCAACATCGCGATGGCTCGAGCGCGACTTCCCGAC